TTGTTGAATAAGTTGCCTCATACTTGTGTTAATAGGTATTAACCTGCCCTCCCTGACAAGCTCTTTGGGTCATAAGATTCCCTTTTTCTTTTGGCATGGGAGATACAGAGTCTTGGCACTGAAGTTTTGAGAGGTATCTACCCTACAGAATGATGCCACGGGACTTTGGAAAAAGCATAAACTTTAGACACAAGTAGTCTGATGTTGAGTGTTGATCCTGTCATTTACCAGCTGGGTGACCTTGGGAGAGTTGCTTAACCTCTGTCAGCTTTTGCTTCCTTATTGTGAGATGGGATATCTGCCTTCTCTGAGTACCATATCTATCCCCAAAGCCTGGAGACGTTTAGAAGTCCGTCTTCTTAGAGGTCTGTGGCATATGAAGGGTTTCAGAAGGACAAACCTCTTGCATAGACCACTGAGATCTGGGAATGTTGAACTCCTTTTGCTAAATTGGCAAATTAGGCTTTTTCTGTTTTTTTTTTTTTTTTAATTGAGAACTGATTAACGTAAAAGAAAACTTACAGATTTTTTATGAATTTTGACAGTTACATGCAGTTATATGACAGTTATATGTAGTTACCACCCAAAATAAGATATGTAAAGCTTCTGTCTCCCTCAGAAAATTCTCTTACCCTTTATACCCTGGAGAACTTTCTGGTTGATCACAATGTATTCATTTTTCTTATATTTGGATTTTTTATAAATGGAATCACACCATAGATGTTCATTTGTGTCCAGATCCTTTCACTCAACATGATTTGAGAACCATTCATGCTGTTGCATATATCAGTATCTTGGTCCTTTTAATCACAGAGTAGTAGCGTTTCTTTGCAGGGGGATACCACAATTTACTTATCCAGTCTCTTGTTGAGGGATGTTTGGGTGGTTTCCAGTTGGGACTAGTATGGGTAAGGCTGCTGTAAACATTCTCATACAAGTCTTTTGGTGGGTATATGTTTTCATTTATTTTGGGTACTAGAGTGGACTGTTTGAGCCAAGTATATGTTTAGTTCCATCGGAATCTTTCCAACGGGTTTTCTGAAGTGCTGCCACCAATTTTACAGTCCCACCTGCAACGTTAGAGAATCCCACTTGGTGTTTTGAGCCTTTCTGATTCTAGTCCTTCTAGAAGGTGTGGGATTCTAGTCCTTCTAGCTACCACAGTGGTAGCTCCCTGTGGTTTGGCAAGTTGAGATTTAATGTCAGTTTCCGTGGTGAGATCTCTGTCCATACCCGTGTGCCTTTCCCTTTTTCCAGGTGTGTTGGCTCTCCAGTGAGATTCGAAAGTCTGTGAGGGCAGAGGCTCAGCCTAACATACGTTCCTCAAATTCTGGACTACACCAAACACAAGGCAGGGAACAGAGTGGGTACCTAATTTCTTGTCGGTTGGTTTCTTGCTACTAAGAAACACGTGTAGACTGTTTTGTAAGGAAGGCAGATGAGAAGGGCTGACACCACCAACTGCTTTCCAAATGCTTGCAACTTGTTGGTTTCCTTGGAGGCGGTTCTCAAGTATCTTAGGAGAGACTGGTTCTGAATCTCTCCCCTCCCTGCCCCATCCTCTCTCTCTGACAATCAGGTAATTAGTCAGGGCTTCTCAGTAGCTCCTGGGTGTAGGTGGCAACTTTCTGTGTCAAGGGCTCTTCAGCCATAGCAAGTTCAAGAAGGCAGAGAAACAGGTGAGTGAGATCTCTTATCGGTCAGCTTCCCTTTCCTATCTCAGTTGGCCTCTTCCCTGCACTTTCCCCTTGATTGATGCTATAGAGTGCCATGAAAATGGTTCTTTTTTTTGATTTTTAGAGGGTTTTTTTTTTTTTGGTCCTCTGACCTAACTATATTCCCATTTAAAAAATGAAATGGACAAATGAAATTATCCACAACGTGAATTTTTTTTCAAGAATTTGAAGAAGATAGAAGACTACAGGTAATGTAAAACTTTTCTGAAGATGGTCACAGATTGCATAATCACTTCATTCACTCTCTCAATGTTGTATCAGAGAATCCCTCCCACGAAGCTCTTTTCTTTGTTAGAAATCAGACTTTTTTTCCCCCGTGAAAGTAGTGGGGGTGCCTGGCATAGTGGAGAGCATCTCAGCCGGGACTCTGTAGTGCAGGCTTTGGCAAGACCTTATGTCAGGACTTGGGACAAGGTGCAGACCTCCCAGTTTTCATGGCTTCCTGTTGGAGGAGGTCATCAAGAAGAGGACGTGACCACAGGTAGACCAGAAAGCTGGCCCCAGGCAAACGGAGGCTCTGCAGCCCCTTCTCTGCCCTTGAATGTATCTTCTGCCTACTATTCCCACAGTGGTGACCATTTTCAAGGGCACAGCCTTGAAAGCCAGGTGTTGCTGGGACCATCTGGACTATACGTGTGTCTGTATAAACTTCTAAGGTTCTTGCGGGCAGATGGGGAGGTTTACTCGTCTGGTGACAAACCTCCTATGTAGGTTCCTTTGCATATTAAAATCACCACCCACAAACCTGCAGAGAGCTGCCTCTTTCTGAGGATCCAGTTTCGGATTTCACCCGGGAAATCCCTGAGGTTGCGAACCAAGATCTACCTGTCAAACCCCTAATCTGACAGTTGGGAGGGGCTCAAAGATTTGAAAAAAAATAATCAGAGACTGAGGAAACACGTTACAGTCACTGTCTTTAATTTACCTGGGATAACGCATGCGAAGTATGTTATACTTAGTGCTACTTCTTTCCTTTCATTTATTCAGTAGCTACCAATGGTATAACTTGTGTGGGCAGGCTTTGTGCCGGGTGTTGCAGGGGTATCTGTGAACCGCCCAACCCCTGTGCCTGGCTTTGCAGAAGGAGGTCAGACAGTGCAGCCATGACCAACAGACAAGCAATCAGAGCGTCACAGTGAGTGAGTGATAGGGTTGTGGCAGGTGCTGGCCAAAGCCGTTGAGTTCCTCACTCAGGGCTTAGGGTCAGGACAGGCTTCCCAGAATAAACTGTGTCCAACCTGGAATGAGTGAATGAGATTGAATTAGGCAAAGGGACAAGAGGATCACTGTTTCAGCCAGAGGGGACAGCAGATATGATGGGAGAGAGAAGGGAGAGAGGGGTTGCTCCAGGACATGAAGTGTGCTGTCACTGGAGCATGGGGGTGGGGGCGTTGTGGTCAGGACAGCGGTGAGGGATGGAACCGGGGACGGAGGGAGAGGCCAAGGCACATGGGGCCTTCTGAGTCATGGTAACGGTGTGTCCTGCATCGTCAGAGCGTTAGGAACCTGTTGTGTGGTTCTCAACAGAGCGTGAGTACAGTCAGACTGGTTTTCTAGCAGTCTGTCTGGGTTGCTATGTAGAAGTTGGGAAGGGGTGAGGCTGGATGTAGGAAGACTCCCTACAGGAGCTGGCAGGAGAGGGGCACCTGGGGCTGGGAGGAAGTGGTGGCTTTGAGAGATGACCTCTTCCAGCCCCCACCGTGGTGCCATTTCTGAGCTCAGAATCAGTAATTTAGAGCAGAGCGAGACTGGATAAAATCACCAAGATGAATTCCAGGGCGTATCTGGCTGTGTGCGGTTCTCTGAGCGTGCAGGCGGCATGCTAATTGCCGCGTTCCCTTTCTGAGCGCCTTGATGCTAGAGACCAACAGAATTTTTCCCTATGAGAAAAATGTGCCGGTGTTCCAGAACAGTCCGTTTTCTCCTAAGTCTGTTGCATCCTAGTTCATTTTGCTGTGTGCGTCGGGAACAGAACCCCCTCCAGAGCCCCCTGGTGATATTCCTGGTCTACAGTGGAGCTGCTGAGAGTGAGTGGGCTCCTTGGGTGTCTGGTGATCGCTGGTGCTTCCTGCTTCTGTTTTGCTGGTCATCAAATTGCCCATTAAAATACTCCTCTCCTCTCACCAAACTTGTTTTGTTGCGCTTTCCTTTATGGTTTCTGAAGGCGACGGTCAGTCACCCAGTTTCAATCAGCAGGCTCATGGTGCAGGGATGAATAAAGCTGACCAACCGTCAGGAGCTTGCTTGGAAAACTGGCTTCCTGTGGAAGGAGAAGAGACAACAGATGATAACTTATCCATCTTTAGTTTTTTTTTAAATATAAAACTTATTGTCAAATTGGTTTCCGTACAACAGCCAGTGCTCATCCCAACAGGTGCCCTCCTCAATGCCCATCACCCACCCACTCCTCCCCCCCACCCCCCATCAACCCTCAGTTTGTTCTTAGTTTTTAAGAGTCTCTTATGCTTTGGTTCCCTCCCTCTCTAACTTTTTTTTTCCTTCCCCTCCCCCATGGGTTTCTGTTAAGTTTCTCAGGATCCACATAAAAGTGAAAACATACGGTATCTATCTTTCTCTGTATGACTTATTTCACTCAGCATAACACTCTCCAGTTCCATCCACATTGCTACAAAAGGCCGTATTTCATTCTTTCTCATTGCCAAGTAGTATTCCGTTGTGTATATAAACCACAATTTATCCATCTGTAGTTTAATCAACAAAGTCGGTAGCCTGCACTGTTGATGTGTGTCCCGAGAGCAGAGCTGAGAGACCCTTAAAATCATCAGCAGGTTATCAGCTGTAGCCACAGGCCACGACCTCTGCCTCTTCCCAGCAGGCATGGCCACAGCCTGGCGTTTGCTCACCCTGTGAAGGAGGGGACCCCTGTGCCTGGCTGCAAGCATGCTGCTGTCCTTGTGACCGCAGCCCACTCCTGAGGTGCCCCCTGGGGAGAGCTGGCCCTCTAGCTCCTGAGCCATTTACCGGCTGGCTGGCCTCACCCTCTGTCATTGTCTCACTCAATTTGTGTCCAGCTCGACTGTATTAACCTTCTGGGCACAGAACCTTCCTTGCCCATTTGGAAAATTCTTCTCTTTCTCCCTGATGTATGCTCCCCTGTGGGACTTTGGTTCAGATCTGATGTTGTTCTGATAGCTGCTGAATTTCATTCTCTGCTGGGTTTATGTCTAACTCTGGAACTTTGACTCTTCAAGTCTGCCCCTGTGTGTGTGATATGCACGTGTGTCTGAAACGTGATACGTAAAGGCAAAACAAGAAGGAAAGCAATTTGAGTCTGTAATACTCAGATGTCCCCTGGAGTCACGCTGGCTTCTGAAGGTCACCTGGAATCCACGTGAACCTTTCCTCCAGCGGTGACATGCCACCAGTCTCGCTGGGGGACTTCTGGGAGATGCCGTGAAATGGGCTCTTTCCCTTCATCATCTTTGCTTATCTTTTCCTCCTAATCATCCAGTTTCCTGGGATTGTCTCAGCCTTGGTGCCCAGCCTGTGCAGCTCTCTCTCCTGACACGATTCCATGTTAGATGCGTCCGGGAATGCTTGCTCCCAAGAATGCCATCCCCACGGGACTGAGAGAGACCCTCGCTGTAATGGAAGCTTTAGAGCTAATGAGGGAAGTTCTATTACAACATTGCAAACCACCTAAATCAAGGGGACACATCCTGTTGGACTGTAAAAAGTCTCTAGGGGACACTGTTCGGGAGCTTCTCATTGGCCTCTTCTCCCCAGACTCCTCTGCTTCTTGCTTTCGTTGCTTGAGCCGGCTGCTAGCTTCAGTGAACAGATAGGGAATTCGTTTTTATTTGTTTTTCTGCCTTTGGGGGCTTACCTTTCCTATTTGGAGAATCCATTAGAGTCCTCTGTATGCTGGAGCCTGCCGGGGCTGGCTGGAAAGAGCTGATCTTTAAATGTTCAGGAGGGGTGCCTGGGTGGCTCAGTCGGTTAAGCGGCCAACTTCGGCTCAGGTCATGATCTCGCGGTCCGTGAGTTCGAGCCCCGTGTCGGGCTCTGTGCTGACAGCTCAGAGCCCGGAGCCTGTTTTGGATTCTGTGTCTCCCTCTCTCTGACCCTCCCCAGCTTGCGCTTCGTGTGTGTGTGTGTGTGTGTGTGTGCGCGCGTGTGTGCGTGTGTATACGTGTCTCTCTCAAAAATAAGTATTTAAAGGGGCGCCTGGGTGGCTCAGTCGGTTAAGCGGCCGGCTTCGGCTCAGGTCATGATCTCACGATCCGTGAGTTCGAGCCCCGCGTCGGGCTCTGTGCTGACAGCTCAGAGCCCGGAGCCTGTTTCAGATTCTGTGTCTCCCTCTCTCTGACCCTCCCCCGTTCATGCTCTGTCTCTCTCTGTCTCAAAAAGAAATAAACGTTAAAAAAAAATTTAAATGTTCAGGAATTTGGAGTCTTTCGGTAGCTTGCAATTGGCCACAGTAGGAGTCTTTACACCACAGAAATTAGCAGATGCCAGAAACCTGTTGTTGGTGTTTGGTTTGTGGTTTTTTGTTTTGTTGTTTGTTTTGTTTTTTGTTTTCTTGTTTTGCTGGTTTTTTTGTTTTGTTTTGTTCTTTTGTTGTTTGTTTCTTTTGGGAGAGCCGTTTTAGTGGCAGGTGGCCACTTCAGAATCTGCTGCCAGGCTCGGTTAAGATCTGTGGAGCATGTGCTGGGCTTTTAGATCTGGGCACGTCTGGGCTGGTGTTGGTGTGAGGTCAGACTAGTTTCCACAGTTCAGCCTCCTGGGCAGGGGTCATGGGACGCATAGTGCCAGCGGGGGTAGGCTCTTTAAGAAGATACCTGAAAAGCTCAGAGATTTAGCCGCATCCTGTTTCTGTGGGAGAATAAGGGTAGAGACCAGAAAGGGATGCCCGGCTGAGGGACATTATCCTCATTGCCTGGGCTAGTGAAGACCAAGGACAAGTTGGCCAAAATGGAATTTGCCAAGATTTTTCTTGTGAATTGGGGCAGGATGGATTGGGACGGAATGAAGGAGGTTATGCGGAGAGCCGCAACTCTCCCCCCCAGCCCCCTCTTCCATCCATCTTAGAGCATGTGTTCTAGATGCTCTTTCTCTACCTCGGATGAGACTGACAGCACTCGTGTTTTCTTTCTGCTGGGCCCACGCTAAATAATCCATTAGTCTTTCCAAATGAGATTTAATTGTTTCATTGCTTTATGATACATCCCTGAGGACAAAATTGTTTGAATAGAAACCCCAGTGAAAAATCCCCTGCCAGCAGCTCCAGGGTCCCTTCAATGGAAGATGAGCACTGTTTGGCCTGTCACTGTCCCGTGACGGGTGTAGCCACGGCCCCATTGACTCCAGCGTTTGTGACACTTTAGTCTGGTAGTGGAATGAAGTTCCGTGACAGGATGTAGCATCGTGGGGGAGCACACCGACCTGGGATGTCGAGACTAGTCTTCTGGTCCCCGGACCAGAGCATCATCCTTGGGAAAGTGAAAGGGTTAGCCTAGTGTAAATGGTGCAGCAACCCTGGGGGGTCGGTTTGATCAAATGCGTTGAAGTTGAATCTTGGCCTACTTTATGACCTAGAAATTCTCATTCCTGATATCAGCACAGAGCCTGATGTGGGGCTTGAACTCACGAACCGGTGAGATCATGACCTGAGCCAAAGTTGGCCACTTAATGGACTGAGCCACCCAGGTGTCCCGAGACGTGTTACTTCTAAGCACCCTTCAAACTCACTCCAAGGCAGCAAACTGTAGATAGTGAGGCCAGGCAGACCCATGACTTCCTATCTCTTGGACTCAGCTTTCTCATCTCTAAAATGGAAATAATAATATGTGGAGGCTTGTTTTGAGTTTCAGATGAAATAATGCCCATAAAGGTCTTTGCACAGTGTTTGACACATACATTTTCAGTAAACATCAAGTCATGGTTTTAGTTTTAAATTAAATTTTAATTATATAAAAATATGTTATTCCTGGGGCGCCTGGGTGGCGCAGTCAGTTAAGCGTCTGACTTTAGCCAGGTCACGATCTCGCGGTCCGTGAGTTCGAGCCCCGCGTCGGGCTCTGGGCTGATGGCTCGGAGCCTGGAGCCTGTTTCCGATTCTGTGTCTCCCTCTCTCTCTGCCCCTACCCCATTCATGCTCTGTCTCTCTCCGTCCCAAAAATAAATAAAAAACGTTGAAAAAAAATTTTAAAAAAATATGTTATTCCTGCAAAAATACTGAAATACTATAGAGACAGCCAAAGTGCCCTTGAAGCTCTTCATCCTCCCCAATTTCATTCTAAGACTCTTACCCCACTTTTGAGAGGTAACTGCTCTTGCTACTTGAGTTTGTGGGTGTATGTATTTGTATTTTCTCTGGACTTAAAAACACTTTTTCTTATGTTTATTTATTTTTGAGAGAGACAGAGACAGAATGCGAGTGGGTTAGGGGCAGAGAGAGAGGGAGGTACAGAATCCGAAGCAGGCTCCAGGCTCCGAGCTGTCAGCACAGAGCCCATCGCAGGGCTTGAACCCACGTGCTGTGAGATCATGACCTGAGCTGAAGTCGGACGCTCAACTGACTGAGCCACCCAGGTGCCCCTTATCTGGATATATATATATATACACACACACACTTATATATACATACACACACACACACACATATATGTACGTATATATATACTTCTCTCTAGAAAATACGTACAGTATTATCCTACGGCTTCCCCCCCCCGCTCGCTATGTTTTCAAGATTTATCCAAGTTAATAGGTCTGAATAACCTCATTAATTTTAATTATGGCAGAATACCATATTATGTGTGCGTCGTATTATTAAAATCCATTTTCCTATTGATGGATATTTGCATTAGTCCTGCTTTTTCACTTGCACAAGCTGTGTTGCAGCAAACACCTTTACAGCTCACTTTGCAAGTATTTCTCTAGGGAAGCTATCTGGAATGAGATATATATGATCGTGAAGTACATATATTTTTAGCCTCAACCAGTTCTGGACGATGATCAGCTATGTGGCTATGCCAGTTTAAATGTCAACCACAGCAGGTGAGAGGAGTCTCTTCCTTAGTTTCTTGTCAAACTTGTCAGCACTTGAAAAATTTTGGATAATCTTGTGTGTGAAAAAAGAAAAGGTATATAATTTGTGGGTCTGATGCACTAATTACCAGTGGGACTGAGTATGTTTATTGTGTGTTTATTGGCCATTTATATTTCCTTTTCTGATAATTGCCTGGTAATATAAGTTGCCCATTTTCCTGATAGCTTGTGTGACTTTTTCTTATTGGTAGAGAATTCTTTGTTTTCTATGTTGCAAATATTTTATACCCTTTTTGCTTATGTTTTGATTCTGTTTATGGTGTCTTTTGATAAACAGAAGTGTTAAGATTTGATACAGCTAAATTGTCATTCTTTTCATCATTTTTGCTTTTTTAGCGTCTTGTTTAGGGAGAACTTTTGCTACCCTCAATGTCACAGAGATATTCTTTAGTATTTTCTTTCAGCACTTTTATAGATATATTTTTTATTGTATTTAAAAAATTTTAATGTCTATTTTTGAGAGAGAGAGAGAGAGAGAGAGAGAGAGAGAGAGAGAGAGAGAGAGAATGGGGGAGGGGCAGAGAGACAGGGAGACACAGAATCTGAAGCAGGCTCCAGGCTCTGAGCTGTCAGTACAGAGCCTGACCTGGGGCTCGAACTCACCAACTGTGAGATCGTGACCTGCGCTGAAGTCAGACACTTAACCAACTGAGCCACCCAGGCACCCCTATCGATATATATTTATATTTCTGTCTTCAATCCATGTAGAATCTTCATGTGAACAAATTTTATTTTGTTTCAAAGGGAAGTCTGTTATTCCCAGTATCAGTTATTCACCAATCCGCTCTTTCTTCATAGATTTGAAGTGTCACCTTTGTGAAATATTAAATTCGTATCTATATATGAATTCACTTTAGTTTTTAAGTGTTGTCAAGTAATCTATTCCTACACTGCTGCCATGTAATTATTATAATTTTTAGTCTGACCTGGCACTGGGAGGGCCGGTCCCAGTTCTGTTCTTTTATAAAATTACCTTGGCCATCCTGGCCCATTAGCTCTTCCAAATGAATTCTAGAATCAGTTTGAATGTTCTGTGAAGAAACTCATTGGGCTTTGGTGGAAGTCATATTGAGTGCATGGGTTTAATCAGGAGAAGTAATGACCATAAGTATGCCATCGGTGGGGGTGACAAGGATCGCTCTCTGATTTCTGCCGGAGTGCTCTTTGGAGTTCCAAACAGGATGAGCTGGGACCAACAAAGATTAC